GCTTCCATGTAATGAATGAAAGAAAAAAAACAGCAAAGAAAGTTAACTATTTAAACTGTTGTTATTGCTAAGATTTGTATGTATTTCTTTTGTAAAAGACAAACCAGGACTAGAAAAAAACTAAAAAAATAGACAATTTTTGTCTTCCTACCGTTTTTTCTGTTTCATACAGAATATACTCACTTTCTACAAATTTTACATAAGTTAAGATTCTTTGATATGCCCATTATGAAGACAAATTTCACAGTCTAAGTTTATGTGGTTTTAATAGCCATGAAGTTTCACTGCCTGGTTTGTGGATGCTAGCAAGAAAGGAGTTACTTTATGCCATACTTCGTTTTTCATTTCAAAAGTCAAGATCTCAAAACAACTCCAAAACATTACCTAACTAAAAGCTAACTTAATCATTAAGACATCTTAAAAAACCCAAAAACCAAAACCCAGAAAGTAGCACCTCGATGGAGCATAATTACTTTCCCGAGAGATGAAATTTCTTACCCTTTAAAACAATTCTTATCCTATGAGACAGATGTAGCAAAGAATAGACTTTTCTGACAAAGTACCATATTCTTTATCTTCCTACCATCCCCAAGCAACATCACTCTTACAATAGCTACTATATGAAATGAAAGCAAGGATGTTACTTAAGCAACTCTGTGTCTGTACACATCTAAATCTAGGAAAACATAAAACATTTAGAAACTACAGCAACACCTATCATTGTAAAGGCATGGTAGGAGAAGCATAATAAATCTGTCCAGCCACCCAATCAGGAGTTAAAATCGATGATTTAACATCAATATTCCTGAAGGCTAATATTACAGGTATCCTGGAACAGAAACCCACACCTAAGAACAACCATTAATATCAGTTACTTTGCTTTGGATCAGAAAATACATGCTACTGAAGTTTCAACTTGCAAGCTCAACCTCACACCAATATGTCCCCGTCTTGCTAAGACAAAACACTAGGCAGAATCTCTTTTGTAACTCAGGCTATTCCCAGGGACCCTGATAAGAAGAAGAAAGTATCTGACAGATACAATTCCGTCTTTTCTCCTGCATGAAACATGTGCCTTCTAAATTCAGCTACTACCGAACAGTTTCAAAACAAGCCCAAAGGTCTCTGTGGATGAGGCAGCACAAGTAGCCCCTGCACACCTTTGATAGGATTCTCACCAACACAGCTTGACAAGGTTCCAGTGGGAAGACCTTTCAGACTCTGCCTCAAGCTTTTGGTCTCTTCCTCAGATTATCAAAAGATAGCCAATTGTGATGGTGGTTTTTCTGTTGGAAGAAAACTTCATGCTGGACTGAGACCACCAACTCATTTCACATAGGTCAGAAAATGAGATGGTAATAGTTTTTCACAGTTGCCAACTTAAACTGTATTTGAGCTACAGACCTAGATGTGAAAGGCTCTGTAATAAATTACCAATCTCCTGAGCCATCCAGTTAACAACATGCATGGTTTTCTTTTTAAACTCTATTATGCTTAAGTTCATAAATTTTCTGAAAGTGTAGAAAGTAAAACATCAGAAAAATTTAGATTCTTGATGACAGGTCATTTGTTTTCTGTATGCCTCTTCAGTATATTTTTAAGAGTACTATTTCAGGCAAAACATTACAGTAAGGTAAGACATTATATTTTGGATTAAAACAAAGTGTGTATAAGTGGTAACATGCACTACATATTTCTACACTATGTTTTGCTCCACTATTTCATGAGTCATGACAAAGCCACCACAATCTTTTTTTACTTTTTCCCCTCAGTGCTGAGGCTTTTGTTCTATTTCTAAAACCAGTAGCAAATTAGAAACAATATCGATACAATTATTTTAATAAAGCAAAGCTTCCTTGTATTTCAGTTCAATGTTACTTAGCAAAGATAAATCTTTTCCCATCAGTTTAAACAGACCGGCACTTTGTAAAAGCAATTTATTGGGCATGGAAAGTAGAAGACAAATAACTAGTCATTGACTGCATTTCCAGGAACACTATTAAAGCTATTTCAAAGACAAAAAGTGACCAGAACAGTAATAAGGAAGCCAGACTTACTGCACCAAGAATAGAATAGCACTGGTAATACTGATTCATAGGAATGGAAGGTCAAACTAATGATACTCTCATGCACTAATGAAATTTCAATAATTAGAGTCATCATATATAGATAGTATCATACTTTGATAGCTTTTGGTTTTAATTCATTTCTAAGAATAAGAATTCCAGACAACTGGGTCAGGAAAACTACCCAATTAAGACAACAGACAGAACCAGCCCAGTCAGCTCTGGGTATATTTCAAGGCAAATATGTAAGAATTGGTGAGATTCACCAATTTAAAACATTCAATAGAATTTGCTGGTTAAGAAACACTAACTCACATTCAAAATGTTTTGCTTATACTGTAGTTTGGATAAATATTACATTATTTGCAGAAGTCTTCAAAAGTTGCCATGGCTATATTTGATAGATTATAAATATTAGGAAAAGATAATGGCCTTCAAAAGTTACCTTCGTAAGTAAAACTGATAATTTTAGGGAGGTTTTATTTTTTTTCCAGCAGTTCTTGCAGCCAATCATCCTCTCCCCCACCTACACACATGCCACATTTAGTTATTTATCTTTCCTGCAGTGATACTACCAGAGGCATTTTCTGTACCTCAACATGCCTGTTATTTAAATGAACACTTTTAAAAATAGTTTTAGAGAATCAAAAAAGGAAAACAGCCATCTGATATACTTTGCTGTCATAAGCATATCAGATCATAGCCAGCTTTTAAAATTTGTTCTACTAATCAAGGCTGTCTGACTGCAGTATAAAAATATGTATTTATTAGTACATGCCCTTGGCAACAAAGGATTTTGTACAAAAACCAATCCTCAGTCATCATCCCAGTGCTAAAACCCATTGTGGATCCACTTACCAAATCCCTGTGTAACACCCAGTTAGCATGCAGGTAGTGAATACCATCTAGGATCTGATATAACAGTGACTTCACCATTCCCCGAGGTAACTGAACTGGTTTCTTGTTTGCTTTAGAAGCCCTGTGAAACTTGATTATATGCTGTAAAGGGGAAAAAGAAATCAAAATAAAAAAAAAGGTAATGTTTTGATCTACAGCATTACACAAAAATATTGCCAGCAATTCCTTACAAAGACTTCTTATTTTTTTCCCAAGCTTTCATCGTTCATTTTCAAAACTAGAAACATGTACCTTAAGTCCTAGAAAATTAATACTACACGAGCTAAAGCGATCACTGTCCCAAGGAAATCTCTCAAAAACAAAATCAGTTGTTGCTGTGGTTTAACCCTGGCAGGCAGCTAAGTCCGCTCGTTCACTCTCCCACAGCAGGATGAGGACTTGACCAATACAACTGTCAAAGCAAATTCCCTTGCAGATCACTGATCTTTGAGGTTTTAGGGTATTTTTGTTTGGGGGTTCTTTTTGTTAAGATAGGCTATCTTGTATATCACAGCAAAGAATTATACCTAACTGCTGTTTTAAGTTTTCTCTTATAATAATAATGATAATATAATACTCAATACCTAACGCCAGAAAGAAATTCTTGCAAACTGTATTGGGAATTTTAAACATATAAATTAGAATCCCAGATTTATTCCTTTTTTATTCACTATACTCTTAAGTACAGTACTTTCAAAACAGAAGCTGCTGACAGCAAAGCTGTAAGTCTGTCCATCTGAAAGTCAGCCACCAAGCCAGACACGGAAAAAGCCTTTAACAACCATAAGTTTAAGGCAATTACGTCTAGCAACAATGAAGAGTCCAAAAGGCTATGTTGTCTCAGCACTTGAGTACCAGGGTGCCACTAATTTCGACAGCAAAGGTGTGCCCCAGTCATGGTAACCATTTCCATGTTTGTCTCCTTTGAGAGAGAAGTAATTTCTAGAACAAAACTTCTTCATGCATTCATACTTCTCTTCTGTAATGTCTTACACTTGTGTGACCATCAAAACAGCCCTGATCTTGTCCATCCAAAACCTGGCACCAAACTTCTATTATGTGTTCTTCCTATGCTCCTGAGATTTCATATTCCTGGTGCCAATTAGGTACCCAACTACTCAACCCGCTTTGGGAAATTGCCTTTCTTCTCTTGCTGTAGACCAGCTCCATACAGCCTGCCCTCCTTTGCTTCAGGCCTTGAGCTTGGCTTTCCTGGGAGGAAAAGGCACAACCCTGCCCTGCCAAAGGTAAAAATGGAGCTGCACAGAGGAAAGAAACATTGATAAAAAAGTGACAGTCCCTGCCCAGTCAGCCAAGCACCACGTGCAAGAGTAGCCCTAAGACTGAGCCACCAGCTTCGCCTCCTCTCGCCTCTCACTTCCACTGACTCGAAAGCAAATCTTATTTTTCATGCAGTGGCCAGAGAGAAGTGAATCTTCAGAGACAGATGGCTCTCCTAGACATTTTTGTTCCTGCTCTAATATACTCTGTGCCCTCTTCCCAGCCTTGCTTGAGACCCGCTGCGCTAGATATGCTGAGCGCTGGAAGACTTGGTCCGCAGCCGTCTCTCTGGGGCACAGAGCCAGCCCAGTCACCGCAGCTAAGTCTCTTGCATCCAGATACAGTGAACAACCAGAAGCTGGTACAGCTGGGGAGTTCTGGAGTTTATACAAGTATGTGCATGTAAACATAAAGGTCAAAATTGAGGGTCATTCCTAAGTTACTTATATACAAGCCAGTGTTTTGTTAGCAGAATTGCTTCTGCAGTGATTTTGGTTAAGTATGAAGCAATGCAGAAATGTATAAATACAAACAAGGACAGGTCACTATTAGTCACAATCATCCAAAGAAATACAAAGCTTTGCAGCACATTTTGAAACACGAAAAAAAAAATCAACTCAAACATTCCTAAACTTTTGTAGCTTAGTATATTGTAAATATGGGGGAGCAGTGAAAAAAAGCAGATGCCTGCTTTTTCTTTAAAAAAAAAAAAAAAAAAAAAAAAAAGGCAGCGCCCTTTACTCCATTTCTTCAAGATTTTTTTTTGTTCTGTTTTGTACGTCAGCCTTTAGAATGTCTCAACGTTTCAGCTGTTCAGCAACTTTTTTTTTTCCCTAGTTTTATTTTGATAACAAAATCTCAATACCAAGTATCAGAACTTCCAAGACATTTTTGATTCAGCTTAGCTGAAGGAAAACTGACACACTAGTTCTTAGGCAAATACTTAAGCAACTACAAGGAACACCATTTTCAAAAGAAAGTAGTCTTACTTTGGTTTGTGCTGTCTATCTAAACTACATGCAGAGGAGAAGCCAACTCATGATTCATACTGCACAAGTCTTACAGGAACACATACATGACAATTTCCATCTCATTCCAAATGACCTCTCTTGTACCCTTTAATAAAAATCTTCTTATATCTTTTAAGGTTAGTATTACAATACTTGTTCCATTGAGAGCAACGCTCAAAATATATGTCAGATTTAATTCAAGGCACACACATACCTTTCTTCAGGGAAATCAAGGTTGCATGGGATTTTGGATTCTTTACAATGCTACTTGAATTTTTTTTTTTTAAGTATTCCAAATGGATGTAAAGCTTACAAATATTAAGTTAATAGAGGACAAGGGTATATGTCTTACAACAGATTTACTTTGCTTCAAACGTGTTTATATTTTAAAGCCATATATTATAATTAACAATAAACAGCCTTCCTCCTAAACACATGAAATTCCAGCAGATGAGTAAAAAGCTCTTCCCACTGAAACATATGAGTTACAACTTCAATTATATACAGTGGCATTACTCTCACTTCATGTATTCATGGTTGACATTCAATGTAACTAAAATTCTAAACTGTTCTATGCAGCCAATAAGTTTGCAATTTTTCAAAGGAATTCACCTGCATAATCAATTACATTTTCCTGCACGCTAATTTAGCTGTAATGGAAGGTTATATCTGCATTTATTTAACTAGATTTCTAGCTACTGAGAGCTGAATGCAGATTTTTATCTTAAAGAGGTCATAGATTAACTCTGGGGTGTGCTTACCAAACATTTTCCATTGCTCTTCCTTTAGTACTGAAAATGTTTCCCACAGACACAGGGCAAAAGGTTACCCTGTTTTTAAACCGATGCATCTTCTGTGACCTTGTCCATTTTCTGCAATTAAAACTCTAAGCCTGGTACCTACAAGCAATTCACCTTACCCAGAGATCATGCTCAGCGTAGTCAAAGAGAAGCCACACTTTCCTGTCAGCATGAGAAAGAAACACCTTTTGCAGAGAAATGACATTTGGATGCTTGAGCTCCCGCAGCAACTGCAAAATAAAGAAAGTCCACAACAGTTAAATCCACACATCCAAAGCTGTGAAAGGGCTGGAAAGATGAATACTTTAACAGTCTTCGCTACAAATTCTACCATACAAACAAGAAAAGTTGAAGTCTGCAAGTCACAGAAAACAGCACATATTTTTTTAATGAAAGAACCAGTCATTAGTTTGAAACCAAAGCTGAAAGCAGGTCATAACCCCCTTAGGACATTCACTTCCTATTCGTTTCCTAAAAGTTGAAGTCTGTGTAAACCTCACTATTAGCCAGGATCAAGAAGACTCTGCAAACAGCCAGCTGTGGCATCTGCCCTTTCCCATAGGCTGTAATCTTTGACAGAGCCATTTGGGGTATCCAATTTTCTCCTGACTCCCAATTATCTGAAAACCCTGCATTTTGGTTGCAGTCATTCAAGGCTGACTGGGATGACTCGTTTAGAGCCTGCCAATGCAGTCAGCTAAACGAAGTCGTGGTTTCTAAGGTGGAGTCAGCTGATCTAGAAGGTCACCACCACCTACAGAAGAAGGTCCAGCTCCCTTCCACAACATATATTAACACCAGTTGGAGCACTCACAGAAGCCATCCACGAAACAGCTCACAAGCTCAGGAGAAAACCCAGACACACAAAGGTGCTAATTTTCTGCTGAGATCCTGAGCTGAAATGACTCACGGCACTGACAGCAGACCCAGCACTAGCAAAGGGACACAGCTAGGAGCAAGAACTTCTTTCAGTAGAAATGAGTCATTAAGCCAGATCAGCTGCTTTAGAAACTATAGCTTTAACCACCACCAAAGGAAAACCAGTCTGTCTGAGCTCTACTGTTCATGTTACAATAACACCATACTCACAATTTCTAAGACAGAAACAAAAACTTTATCTGAGCAAACTATTGTCAAGCATGGCTACCCAAGACTAGATGAATTCTTGCCAGCTCAGGGATGGCAAATGGAACAGTTCAGTCTACCAGAAATTATGACATTTTTAAGAAAAGCAACAGCTAGGCTTTTTTAAAAGCCAATAACATTTCGAACTACTATTTGAATGTAAAATAGAAAATCAACATTTTATTTTTGAGACTGAATTTATTTCCAGTAAAATATTATTTTCCTTTCTGTAACAGAGGGAACAAGAAAATTAGTTTCTTTTCACTGATACCTTTATCACATGCAGTAACATTCTAGCTGCTACTGAGATAGTAAAATGGAATCGGATTATCTGCATGTGTTTGTTTCATTCTTTTCTATTTCATTTGAGACAGACTCCCATCCCTACTTACTGACCAGAGTCTTCAGTGTGGCATTTCTTGAGCAAGAGGACTTACAGCCCACAGACCTTTTATCTCAAGTATTAGACCAAACAGGGAGACAGAGGGTTCAGGAGACAATGTAACGTTACAAATCAGTGCAGAAGCTACTAGTTTCAACATGTTAACCCTCTTAATCTTAAGACTTGTAAAAACATTACACAGAGGAATTTTAAGGCAGGATCTAAGTCCTGTGTAATTCTGTAAATGCCTATAATTCCTACAACATATAAAATCAGTATGGGGAAAACCAAGAAATGCTTATTTGCAATTTTTTATCAATTACAGGTAGGGATTATGTGTGGTAGGTTGACTCCAGCCAGCAGCTAAGCCCCACAAAGTTGCTTGCTCACCCCCCTCAGTCAGACGGGGGGGAGACGAGGAAGAATAAAAAAAAGCAAGAAAATTTGTGGGTGTGGGTAAGACAGTTTAATAAGTGAAAGAAAGAAGAATTAAAAAAAAAAAATCAACAAAAAAACCCAACCAACAGAAGCAATGCAAAGGCAATCACTCACCACTTCTCACAAGCAGACCAATGCTCAGCCAGTCTCCAGCAAAAGCTACGTCCCCAAAGGGAAGAGAGGGGCAGAGTGGGGAAAAAGAGAAAGCCTAGATGCTGTGCAAGAACTGCTCAGCAATAGCCAAAACACTGGTGGGTTATCAACACTGCTTTAGTTGAAAATCCGGAACACACCACTACACAGGCTGCTACAGCTGCATCTCAGCCAGACCCAGTAGAGCATCAGACCATCAGCTGATGGGAGTCAGCCTCTCAACAGTGAATGAGGTTAACAGGGTTTAAGGATAAATCACCCCAATCCTTCTAGTGAAGGACTTTTTGTTGAATCAGTATAAATTGACAGCTTAAATTAATGTTAAACATTTTGATGAATTAACTGTACCCAGAAGACTGCACAACAGTTCAGCAACCATGTGTCCATACCAAAATTTTATCAGATTTCCTGTGGCCTGATGACACAGCCGTACCAAACACAACAGCCTATTCCTCAATGAAAGGGGCAGATACTAGTCAGGGCTCTAGGAAATAATGTAATTTTCTCCTTCAGCCCTTCCTGTCACATTTTAAGTCCCTCCTACTCCTTATTCCCCAGGTAGCAGCTATCCCTCACTTTAAAAACCCAACCTTTTCACCTTAAATGTGATTCACCTCAGAGGACACACAGAGAACCCATCACCAAAGCTGGTCCAGAACATGACACAAAGATGAGAAAATTCGAGCAATGCAGCAGAAGTATTCCCTGTCTGTAGAGCAAGGTAACACAGACATAATTCTCCTTTGTTTGTGCTAGGGATAGTCGATCCTGTGGACTTTGAGATTCACAGCATTCCTCCTGGTCTGCTAGATGACAGGCTGGTGCTCTTCCCCATTTCCAAATCAAGCCAGTAGCAATGTACAAGTAACTGAGCGTGCATGTCCTACAGGCACGCACACAATACAGACATGACCAGCCACGCAGGGATCAACAGAGGCAGTAGAGCAGCATCTTCTTTGTAGGCACCCACATAAAACTTGAACAACAATCCAAACGGCCTGGATCACATTTCTCCACTCTGGCTAATGAGGCTTAAAGTTCACACACATGGACATGTCTTCGCAGATCCAGTGCAGACCTCGCTGCAGAAGATCTGTTCAGAATCCAAGCCCAGAAGCCGTGCCCTTTTATCCAGGTTCCAGCTCCAGCATTGGGTCTTTCCAGACTTTGGTCTCTTCCTGCTTACTGGTTCTGCATGCTTCAAGTTCACTAGCAGGTCACACACATGAGCCATCAGGGAGAGCTGTGTAAGTGTTCATCTTCTGACTTATGTCTCTCCCATATCCAGCTTCTGTAGACCTGTGGTATTACCAGCATCTGGCCCCTGCAGACCTCATCCTGTTCTCACCACCTAGTCCAGCCTGAAGTTTGCTAGCAGATCACAGATGCAGAGACAGGACAGAGAGCACACTCAGAGCAGTTAGGAACAGACGTAAGACAGACAGTGGTGACTACATAGAGGTTAGCCAGACGCGCACGCTGCCCAGTAGCCTGCGTACATGAAACCTGCCCCTTATTCCCTCTGCATTTTACTACGCTTTTTCCTCCCCAGTCTACCTTGATCACTCCCTTTCCTGCCTTTTATCCTTCCTCTAAACATCCCACAGAAATTTTAGAGAGTCCCAGCAGTCCTCTCAAATACCCAGTAAAACCTCTATCCTCCTAGAAGATCCACAGCAGCCTGTTTTCCTTCTCATCAGTCACAAATCCCTTGCTGACTCTCTTCAAGGACACACCTGAGAGGTTCCTTTTGTGGCCCATCACCAGTGTTTTAAGAGTTCTGGCCTTTGTTACTGTCACTGATAGCAGCTGCTATCATTATGCATCTGTGTGCTCAGTTTATCATTCTCGCTGGTTTTTGCCTTTTATTCTGAATAGCCGTTAACTATATATTCTTTCAGTCTGCTTAAAAAACCTGATGGGTTTGGGTCAAAGCTAGACAGCTACAAGCACCCCAGTGAATAGCATGACTAATATACATCAGCAAAACCATCAGGAAATTATTGCTGCAGTGGTGTTGATGATCCCTGAGTCACTGCCTTGGAAAGGCTGAAATGCTCCAGGACAGTGATAACGCAGAGTGACAAACGCAAATGCTGTCTGAAGGACAACAAAGAGCTCATGCAGATGATAACACATCACATGGGCTGTAAACAGCATTTCCAGCAACCTCACTCTCCATGAACCAGGCGCCTCTCTAGTCCCTATGCCACATGCCTTTCCTACCAGATGACTTCCCTTGTGTCCAGCAGCTGACAGAGTTCACTGAAGACAAAGTAGACTGCAAGAAACACAGTTTGACTATCAGTATGATGCCTGTTAATAGTCAAGGCCATTTTTTGGCCTAGTGACTCTGATATTTAATTGCTTCTGTCTGTCCTAGTTCAGTTCTATAGAACACAAGTAGACAAAAGTTCTATAGCGAAGTACATAAAAACTATACATTTGGCTCTTAGTAAATTATTTTTATTTTCATTTGCATATCACATGATGATTCAATTCCGTTTCTACAACCAGAAAGGTTTCCCTTAAATTAGTTGGTCTGAGTGCCCCTTATAAAGAAGGAAGACCCAACTGACCTTCAAAGAAACAGAAATCAGCAAATGATGAAGGCGCCAACACATTTGGTTTGACTTGAGTGTTACAACCCCATGTTATCCCCAGCTGGTCTTGCCCTTACTTTCATAAATGTCTTACAGCAAAGGAAAACAGCATCCCTACAAACAAGTCCTGGGCTCACTGAGGTTCCTCCATCTCCCTCTTCAAATGCAGAAATACTCAATCCACAGCCATGGGGCAGCTGGGGAAAAGTAAAGGAAAGTGTCCTAGCAATGCATAAAACTGTTAAATTGCTTCACGAACAAGGATAAAGTGGGGTAAGACGGGACATTATTAAATAATCAACAGCAGCATTAAGACTGCCTGGCAAACAACCGCATGACTAAAGCAAATCTTTTCTTGCACAGGGGCATTAACAATAATTAACCTTTCACATCCAATATGAGCTGAACCTGGCACAAGTCTTGATGGACATTATCTCCTTCCTTCAGTGATACTCCCATATTTCCCATACAGCTCTCCACCACTACAGACACTTCTCATGAGCCAAGACACAACACTCTTCGCCTAAGC